AGTGTTGGAGCATTCACCGCTTCTGGAGGCAGGTTGTTCCATTGGTTAATTGTTCTAACTGTCAGGAAGTTTCTCCTTAGTTCTAAGTTGCTTCTCTCCTTGATCAGTTTCCATCCGTTGCTTCTTGTCCTGCCTTCAGGCGCCTTGGAGAATAGCTTGACTCCCTCTTCTTTGTGGCAGCCCCTGAGATATTGGAACATTGCTATCATATCCCCCCTCGTCCTTCTCTAAGAGTACAGAGAAGAGCTACAAAGATGATTAGGGGACTGGAGGCTAGAACATACAGGGAACGGTTGCTGGAATTGGGTATGTCTAGTTTAACGAAGAGAAGGACGAAGGGGGACATGATAGCAGTGTTCCAGTATCTCAGGGGTTGCCACAAAGAAGAGAGAGTCAAGCTATTCTCCAAAGCGCCTGAAGCCAGGACAAGAAGCAACGGATAGAAACTAAACAAGGAGAGAAGCAACCTAGAACTAAGGAGAAACTTCCTGACAATTAGAACAATTAACCAGTGGAACAACTTGCCTCCAGAAGCAGTGAATGCTCCAACACTGGAAGTTTTTAAGAAGAGACTGGACAGCGATTTGTCTGAAATGCTATAGGGTTTCCTGCCTGAGCAGGGGGTTGGACTAGATGACCTCCAAGGTCCCTTCCAACTATTATTATTATTATTATTATTATTTTTATTGTTATTGTTATTGTTATTATTACTATTACATGGATGGTTTCAGTACGTCTCTTCCTATATCCTTAATCTTTATTATTTTCATACCCATAGTTTACTGAAAGTTTAGGTCATTTAGAAAGCTTCTGGACCTTCCTGTCTGCTCTTTGCCCTTTGTTTGTGTCTGCTTCATGCTCCTAAACCCAGGGACACCCAGAAAAGATTCTAGACACAGGATCAAAGGCCTGGAGATCTATTCCATGTAATGCAAGGTTTGGTTTAAAACATTTATATGGCTGCCCACCTTACTCTGAGCGGCTCACCACCCAAAAATAAAAATGAACAATAAAAGAAAATATTGCCACCAAAAAGACCAGATACCAAAATTAAACTTCCCCATGCAGCTAAGGGAGGCCTAGAACTCGGTCTTTTCATAAAACTAGACATACCCAATTCCCAGTTCTTCATACGTTTTAGCCTCCAGTCCCCTAATCATGTTTGTTGCTCTTCTTAGTCCTGTAAGCTGCCTTGAGTCCCCGTGAGCGAGTAGTCGGCAACATAAAATTTCCAAATAAATAAATACTGCAAAGAGGAAGATAAGCCAACAGCTGCTGTCCCACCTGATCTCTACAGCCCAACTTCACGAAGAGAAGCTCACTTCCGGTTATGTCAGGGCCCCTAAAAGCTATCAGAAACTCCTTGTTAACAAACAATCTAACTGTTCTATACCTTATCGTCAACCAACCTTCTATGCTTAACATATAGGATTCACTAGCTGGAAACTACCCTTCATTGAGAAAAGGTACAATACAAGTTCTCACCATCCAGCAGCAGGTGCTTCTGATCTAGCGTTTTCAGCTCGCTCAGCATCAGCTGGGTCATGATGTCATCGGGAATCAGTTGCCCTTTTTCAATATATGACTTAGCCAGTATGCCAATTTCTGTGGAAGCAAAAATGAACAGAAAAATCTTAAGGAAGTGGGATCGTGCATGCAATTGTGTTATAGCTTTGTTTTGTTTTGTTTTGCTCTCACTCAACGTTCATCTTTTATTGGTGGAAAAATGAGCAAAAAATATATATACATTTTCCCCAGAGAATCAAGTGTTATTATAGGACTACACCTGAAGGCTGCTATCACCCTACGGATGAGCACATTCAGTAAATTTAAAGAAATACAGGCCAAAAAATATCCTCTCGCAAAACCAAAATCAAACTGTATTCTTGCTCAAAATAAGCATTCCTCAAATTAGCTCTTTTTTTGAATTCGGTATTTATGGGTGACAGATATCTTGTTCCTCTTTCCTTTCACAGCTAAAATCTTTGCTTTTTGGCTCCTATAGCTAATTCATTTCCTTCCTCTCCTTTTACATTTACAGACTGTTCAATTACATTGGACATTTTCCAGATCAACTACTTAATAGGCTCTTAAAGTTGTTTATGGCCATGCAGCTTGGTTTGGAAGTATTCCACAACTCAGGATGATTTTGGCTTCTAAATAAACATTGGTAGATCAAATAGGGCGCTAATGAATTATTGTGGTTTACTTTGGGACTTAGTGATTATAAGGAGAGCCTATACAATCATACTTGCAAAGTGGTTGTCATAATAATATCCATTACATGTTTACATTACATGTTTCCTTTTGAATAATATGCCTTCCCACTCTATCACTGTTTAGTTTTAACTGCACCATTTCAGTTATAATTTTACCATTTGCTTCTGATTCTGGCTTATTGGGAAATCAAGAAGCCATGGATTCCAATTTGAAAGAAACATTAAGCAAATGATAAAGATAAGGCAAACTATAAAGCTGGAAAGCTGCATGTGTATTTAGCTGCTTCCACTGACAGAAGGAGTCAGGCAATTTAGTGTGATGCTTCAGCAAAGAGCAGGAAATGCGCATAATAATCTCACACATAAATTCTTGAAAGCACATTTCCCCGAACTTAATGGCATTTCTTACTGCCTGTGTAAGTTTAATTTTTAACATATACTGAACTTAACAAAATGTAAATATAACCTTGGAATTAGCATGTAAGCCATGCTTTATGCTTTCCTAGCATAAAGTAGGGACTTTGTCAAAGAAAAGAACAGTCATTTATTATTATTTAGCGTATGGCATATCATACATGGACTAGCAATATATATATTAACATTTCATCTAGATTAGTAGAACACAATAAAATATAAATGTTAAAAAGATCTATATTCAACTACCAATGTCTAAGCCAGCGGCCTCCAACCTTTTGGACACCAGGGACCGATTCTGAGGAGAAAGGTTTTTCCGCGGACCGGAGGAAGCGTGGATTCACATGCTGCCTGCATCCCACAGATTGGGCTTAGCTTTTTTGCACGGCCCAGTTTCTGGCATGCCACAGCCCCAGTGCCGGTTCAGAAACCAGGGGTTGGGGACCCCAGTCTAGGCCATCTAACCATTGAAGTGCAGCACAATTTACATGAAATGATGAACAGTAATAATTTTCCTCATTTTCCATTTCCTATATGCTAGTGATGGCGAACCTTTTAGAGACTAAGTGCCCCAAAACCACCCCCTGCCCCCATTCCTCCTCCCCTCCTACCTGCTCTGCCCCTGCCTGCCCCCTGCCCCACCCACCCGCAGGACCACGCACCGCCTCCATGGCCCGCCGCAGCAGATCACCCCGGCAGCCCTGAAGCACCATGGTAGCCATGCCTTCCGCCCACACCCCGCAGCAGCATCTGCACGCTATGAGGCACGAGGGCGACTCTCCTCCAGGGGGGCTGCTGGTGAGGGGGCCGTGGGGATAGGCGGGGCTGGGGCGACAGTGCGCGTGCCCACAGAGAGGGCTCCGAGTGCCACCTCTGGCACGCGTGCCATAGGTTCGCCACCACTGCTATATGCTAATCTTTCACAAAACACAACTTGAAAACCTCATTATCATCTTATTGTCTTATACAGAAAGGGGAGCTCATGAATTGCTCAAGCAAATAACATCTTCTTTCCTACCCTAAGAAAAACATTCTAAATCTGTGCTCCGTCGTATTCCTTCTCTGTTACTAAACATACTTTCTGTAACCACTAACATACTCCAGAAACAGCAAGACCTTAAACTCAGCAAAGTCACTGACGTTAACCTTTAAGTGTCCATACAAGTAAATGTTTAACTTATATGAACTTGGAACTATTTAAACTGGCTTCAGGGCGTGCAGAGGAAATTCTGCAATCAAAACAACATGGAATATATTTTAGTGACTTTATGCTAGTCTTTAGAAATCTAAAAAGTAGTCCAGTACATATCTATCACTTTGGATTTGTTCACATATTCATATTTAAGGCTTTTTTTCTCCCTATTTATACTACTGCTTATAGATTCGCTGTGGAAAAATGAGGTTATACTACAATTTAAGAATAATCTCAAGTCTGTTTCACCATGCTATAATATTATGGAAATTATTCTCATAAACAGAATTCAAGATGTAAGGCAAATCAGTTGTCCAAATTCCCTACAACCCATCTTTCTAGGATTACAGATTAATAGATTACAGATTAATGGGTTATTGTAGTGTTATTCATCACAATGGTTAATTTAGAAAACTTGGGCTTTGCAGGTTAAGCATGAGCCTTCTTCTATCCTGGTTCTGTACAACCGAATGCATTTAGGCATGTTATGCAAAACACGACAGAGAACGATGCTCAGAAGCTAAACAGATTCTACTATCTGTTCAACTGGAAAAGTTATAAACATAATAGAACAACCCACCACCCATCAATTG